CTGTCGGGCGATTAACTGGTCGGTTGCTATCGGTTGTGGTGTCGTGACTCTTCCGTGTGCCGTAGTTTGTGGAGCATCATCCTATTGTGTTTTTCATGTCGCGGTACGGTACGGTACGAGGATTAGTGATAACTGCACAGTGGGCTTTGGCCGGAGGCTGGCGGCACAGCAACAGCAGCAGCAGCACTGTGTCGTACCGTCGAGGTATATTGCGCGCTTGATTTGCTATGAGCCGGCAATAGACACAACACACGCTGACTTGTCCACACACACGCCCTCCCCGCTTGTTTCTCACTGTATGTCCGCATGAACCTGGTCCTGCAATCAACATGATGGTCCTGCTGCTGCTGCTGCTGCTGCTGCTGCTACTGCCGGAGTTGAGTACCTTCAAGAGCTGCGATTACTGGCGGGTGCCTGAGGGAAATTTCTTGCGAATCTGTATATGGCAAGGAGCAGAGGGTGCGGTTAGGCCAGAGGTGAAGCCAGTGCGGCGGCGGTGGTCGTGGAACTGGTGGCGGTGGATGGCGCGATGGACATGGATAGGGTGTCTATATTTTAGATTCGGCCCCGGTGACCTATTTCCATGTGGGTTCGAGCCCCACCGTGATCGAGGCTACAGCCGAGCTCGCGGCTAAAGCTTCACCTTGTCAACACCTCTCTATTTTCTCGTTTTTATCCAATAGATATGTCTAGCAGAAGATAAGGAGAAACTGCAGTAGCAGCAAAGTGCGGTTGTCCGATACGCGCTGGATGAGAAGCGGCGCCAGTAAGCGCCACATCCAGGCCGCGTGCCGTTGGTGTGTAAGTATTTCAACAGTTCGTAGCGCCCGCGTGCGCTTTGGTCGTCAAGCCCTGCACCCGCGTCGGCTCCCTTGTTGTGTGCACTTCGGTATCTTACCGTTACATTGCCACCATTTATCTATGACGCGGCAATTGTCATTTTAGGAGACTTCGGACTGGAAAAATCACCTGCAAAATTGAAAATAAACACAGGAAGGCAGGATCTGCCAGGTAGCGGCTGCAGGGTGAAGATATGAACCCCCTGTCCCATACATCATACATACACTCTCTTGCACTTGGATGTGTCGGACCGTCTGTCTTGCAGCCACCCTGTGGACCACTATCAGGCTACCGCAGCTCGGTCGGCATCATGAAGGCAGCTGCTGATTACATATTGTCACTTGGTGTTGGGATGACAGCACAGTGATGGAGCTGATCATGAACTTGTTGGGGCAAGGGATGGATGGCAACAAGTGATAGGGAACGGAAATGTGGCGGGAAGGGGCTAACGGGCGAGGGTGAACGGGAGGGATATAGGGTGATAGGGAGCTGGGCGGTGCACGATCTCGCTGCTCACAGCAGTGCTGGGTGACAATGATGGTGCATCGATGGATGACCTTGAAAGAAGAAGCTACGGATGGCTTAGCCCTGTCAAAGGAAAGCTCCCCATGATAGTTCCATGGCGCCCTTGTTCGGGCCGCAGTCCCTTTTGTAAGCAAACGTGACTTAAAGCACCTTAGATACTCAAGAAGAACTTCAAGAACCATAACGCTGTATCAATAGCTCTTGGCACTTCCGCCATGGGCAGATTACGTCAATCGCCCGCTATGCCACATAAGCAAAAATGAAGCAACGGCCTTCATGATAACTTGACCTGTTGTTTGCAAGGGCTTGCACTTAGGGATCTTGCTTCCGGGGAGGACGTAACCAGGTGCAGAGGAACGGAGGTGAACGTGATAATGCAGTGACATACAGCTATAATATAAAAGTTTAATAGGCTAACTGTCGACAAAGTGAGTTCGCCGAACTGCACCTTACCAACACACTTGGATTTGCAGCTGTTGCGCCGTACAATTTAGCTGGCCTCTGACAAAAGGCACCTCCCATAGCACTTCCAGCTCCATTAGCAAATGTGCACAACGTCCGATATTTGATCACAGGCTTTCACCCAACGTTTGAGCCCTTCTTTTCGGCCTGTTCCAGCTCTGGTGCGTCCGTAAAAGCTGCTAGTTTCCTACATATGACCAGCAAATGAGGAAGCCTGAACAGCTGCGCGGCGCCCTGAGAAGCTGCTGTGGACCCTGCAAACGTTTGCAAGGTACTGTTCGTTGCAAAACCTTCATGCTGTAGCCGCCGCACTTCAGTTCCATTGCTCTAATTTATTACGCGGTTAGATCAAGCATTTCTTTATTGAACCCCTGCTGACGTTGCTTCAGGCACAGCGTCGCCGCTTCATGGACATGGACTTGCCTGACTCATCTGTGAGGGCAAGGTGCGACTTGCGGCAACTCATTTTTTTGAGGTGAGATGCTTGCTTCTCGAGCTTGTGTATGGATCTTTGAAGCACAAGGGGCTTTGTCGACGGGCTTTCGACGGGCATGTGTTTGTGCAGCGCTCTGCTGCAAGAATATGGGCGTATGAGGCGTTTGAGCGTAATCCCGACAGTTGTGCTTTAGCTGTGTAAGGAGCCTACGAAGGCTGAAAGCTAGGCGGTCTGGCAGGAAAGTACACGTCGTTAGGCGAGACATGACCACTTCGTCCGATGTCCGTGACCTTCCTCGCGACAGAGACGACTGCTCATTGGAGTTGCCCAAGACCTTCCAGATCGACCGCGTTCCACCTGGCAACGAGAATCTCTGCGTACACCACATTTCAACTCTCCAAGACCCCAGTGCGATGTTGCGTCGGCGTGAAGCAAGGGCCCCCATTGTCAACGCTTCTAATCAACGCAGTCAAGCTCACATCGTCTTCCGCTGCCGGTGAGTGACGCCGGATGCACGGTCGCCCGTACATGTCGTACGTTAGTTAGAACGCGCCTAGATTTCCGGCCGTGAGGCCGTTACACGTCGTATCAAGGTCGGCCATCGTTCTTGGATTCTATGGGTGAAGGCGCGTTGCANATGGATAGACGAGTTGGTGACGGAGGGGGATTTCGGTATGAAATTGTTGTACCTTGGTAAGGTGCGGCGTGTAGGGAGTACGGCATGGAGGTCT